AGATCAGTGGGCTTGGGTCCAGGCAGCGGCCAGTTCTCGTGCGTCACTGAGTAAATACGAAGGTATCAGACATGCAGCCAGACCTCTCACCACTCCCCGTCTCGATCCAGCCGAAGTGCAATGCTTGTGCTGGGTAGAAGTGTGTCTCCCCAAAAAGATGCAGTTAAATCCCAACCCCGGTACTTGTGAATGTGAATGTATGGCTGGTTTTTTTTGTTTGTTTGTTTATTTTGGTACTGGGAATCAAACTCGACCTTGTGCTTGCTAGGCAGGTGTTTCACTGCTGAGCTATATCCCCAGCCCGTGAATTCGACCTTAATTGGAAACAGTTTTTGTAGATGTAATCAAGCTAAAATGAGGTCATACTGGATTAGGTGGGCCCCAGATTCAAGACAGGTGCCCTATCCCTTTTTTACTGCTATATGGGAACTGAACCCAGGGCCTCCTACTGAGCTACAATCCCAGAACTTTTTGTTTTTATCTGAATTGCTAAATTGCCTGGGCTTGAACTTGCCCACCTCCTGCCTCAGCCTCCCGGAGTACTGAGATTACAGGAGTATCGCCACCACACCTGGCTTTTTTTTTTTTTTTCTTTTTTTTTGCAGTGTCTTGCTATATAGTCCGAGCTGCAAGCTGGCCTTCCAACTTGCAGTCCTCCTGCCTCAGCTTACTGAGTAGCTGGTGTTACAGGTGTGTACCACCACACTTGGCTCTATCTACCTTTCATCTTTTAGAATATAAGCCCTTTGGGTGCAAAGATAGGATGTGGGTCTCTTTCGTATTGTCAAATGCTAGTACAATAATCAGATTTTGAACATTGAAAAACTGAGTTCGGTTTCTCTGAGGTAGAGCAGGTTTTCAGTTAAGGCCTCCAGCCTTAATTGGAGGTTAATTGGTGAGTTGCTCCTGTGTGGCCTGTCCACCCTAGAGTAATGACCTGGACTGCTGTAGGCCTGAGGTAATTTCAAACCGGCACTAGTTTCTGTTTGTGCTCTTCATCCGATCTGCTGTGTTCAGTTATTCATGTGGTCCAATTACCCTGAGCCCTCAAGGGACGGACAGGGACTGAAGGGACAGGGCTTACTGTGTGTCTTGAAGTGGGTCGGATACATACTTGTTCTGCACATATGTGGGGGTTGTAGGAATGATTACTAACATTTTAGACATCTTCCTGAAAAAATAGTATGATTCATTTCTTCATGAAATAGCTGAATTCCTGTTCCGTTTTAAACTTTGGAGGAAGTATTTCATTTCAAGTAGGCCTTGTTATTTTCTTGCCAATTAAAGATTTCCGTAAGGAATCATCTGTTTCTCAGAAAAGGTCCTTAAATAGCTCTGCCTTGTCCTGCATATAGTTTCAATTCTTTTCTCTCTAAAAGGATGTTAAATAGGTTAACAGTTTTGAACCAAAACCTTGCAAGCTGTAGAGCGCCCGGCACATGACTTGCACAGCCTGTTTCATGAAGTGGCACCTCTCACCTCTCACCTCTCATCTGTGGATTGACTTGCAGATCTTGGAGGACTAGCTTCCCCCAGAGAGCTTCAGCAAAAAAGCGGACAGATGTAGAAATAATTAGCAATTTAGAAACAATGATTAGGCTCCACATGAGTCTATTTATGACAGGTGGAATTGGTATGACAAGGAAGTAGCTTACTCTTGATGCAGCTCAGTGGCAGAGCACTTGCCTGGGCTGGGGGAGGATTGCCTGGGCTAGAGGGAAGGAGGCAGGGAGGGAATGTAGGAACACAAAACCAGAGCAGCCCAGCCAGAACCAAACATTGATAAGCAGCGATTTGTCTGGTATTTGAGGTAAAAGCTACACCGATTTTTTGTGGGAGTATTTATTGTAGAACTGCAGAACCATACGTAGCTGCCTGTTTAATAACTGCAAATACTGTTTTACTGTGTGTGTGCATGCACACATACACATGGGCACTGAGGGTTGAACACAGTGGCTTTGCACTGAGCTACATCTCCAGCCCTTTTTTCTTTTGACACTAAGGTATTGCTGAATTGCTAAATTGTCCAGGTTGGGCTTGAATTTGTGATCCTCCTGCCTCAGCCTCCCAGAGTACTGAGATTTCTGGCATGACCATGCCTGGCTCCATGTATTTTCTGAACAGAAGCTAATGGCTATGTAAGAGGTAACCCCTGATTTAGGAGTGTAAAGTAAGTATTCCTTATTTTGTCATTTCTGTAGGCCGTCCTGATTGCAGAGCTTGCCAGGAGCAGAGAATTCCTCCACTCACACTTGCCTTGGGCAGGTGTGAGCTTCTTGCAGCTTGCTGGCTGGTCTCTCTCTTCTTTTCTACCCCTTAGCGAGTTTCCTGAGTGTTCTCATGACTCTGAACACTGGCTTCCCGTAGACTGTAACCCGAGAGAGAACGAGCTAGGGCACACCTGAGATGAAAGACACGGTCTTTCCTCATCTAGGGGGGACATGCAGTGGCTTGTGCTGTATGTGTTGCTATTGGTCACTCAGACCATGGTGGTCCAGGGTGTGAGGGGACTGACTACAATGGTATGAGTGACTGGATATACAACGGGAAGCAGGGGTCACTGGAGGTCCTCACAGAGGCTGCCACAGTGGCTACAAAACCTCCAAAGTGTCCGTATTATGTGGGAAAATGTGAAAGAATGACCTAAACTGGGCGTGGTGGTGGCACAAGCCTGTAATCCTGGTAACTCTAGGAGGCTGAGGCAGGAGGATTGAATGTTCCAGCCCAGCAAGGCAATGTAGTTAGACGCTGTATGAAAACATAGAAAGGCCTAGGTTCATTCAATCCCAGCGCTGGGAGAAAAGGTATCTAAGGGGTATATAGTTTTAAAATTTTTGAGAAACTCCTTTTAGAGTAAGAAAAGTTTGGAGACTACTGATTAGACTGCCAGTCTTACACTAGTCCGTCTCTCTCCAGTGTCCCTCTCAGCACTCCAGGCTCTTTGTCTCCTCCATGGGGTGCTCTTTTAATATAGGGACAGTTGATAAATGGAAGATAATTGGAAAAATTTAGGTCCTCATTTGTGAATGGTAAAAATTATTTGAAATATGGACTGCCTCTAAATCCTAGGGTTTCTTGTTATGACAAAATGTACTTTTTACAAAAGAATTACCTAAACTGAGTGTGGTGGTGGGCACATGCCTGTAATCCCAGCCTTCAGGAGGCTGAGGCAGGCCATGAGTTTGAGGCCAGCCTGGGTTCCAGGGTGAATTCATGGTCAGTCTCAACTGTAGCAAGACTGTCTCAAAAAATAATCAGCTGGAGAGTATAGTGCATTTATGCCCAGAAAGAAGATAAATTTCTATTGTATACCCACCAAAAGAAAATAAAGTGTGCATAGTTGTCACAATCTGCAAAGGGGAATCTGCCTACTTTTTGATTAGAGAGGTCATCAAGGTACACATTTAATTAAAGCTTTTTTTTTTTTTTTTTTTTTTCTGGTACCAGGAATCGAACTCAAGACCTTGCGCTTGCCAGACAAGCGCTGTGCTGCTGAGCTAAATCCCCAGTCCCTAGTTAAGGCATTTTACTCTCAGATGTAGACGAAATTCAACTGACTTAAGCGAAAAGTGTACAAAACCATTATCTTGAAAATAATGATAAGATTATACTGGGGGATACAATAAACATAAACCAGTTTTTTGTTTTTTGTTTTTTTTTTTTTAAAGGAACAAGGCTTGAAACCCGACCAGGGCTATTATTTTATTACTAACAATTTACCATTTCATAATGGCTGTCCCACTTTAAGTGGAAAATGTGTTAGCTCCTACTTGAGTAAACTTCAGCTGAGCTAAAGTAACACTCGCATCCAACCTTGTTAAAATGTTTTGTTTTGTTGTTTTTTTTTTTTTTTTGGTTTTTCTCCGGTACCGGGAACCGAACTCACGACCTTGCGCTTGCCAGGCAGGCGCTTTTGCCGCTGAGCTAAATCCCCAGCCCCTAAAATGTTTTATTCAGTATCATAAACACTAAACTATATAGAGCTAAAACTGTGCGAAGTACTGCAAAACACAAAGTGTCTTAAGAAATATCCGGTCCTGCTAAACAGACCAGGCAGAGGACCGAACCCAAGACGTCAGTGGGCAGAGTCCTGCTGTACTCTGGCAAGGAGCCAGGTCCTGGATTCCAGCTCCTTGAAACGCTGGAGGTCTGCCCACAGTGAAGCCAAGGAACAAATGTGTAATCAAAGCGCCTACTCTGCCGCCCACCCAGCACTTTTTAGGGGATAGGGTCTCATTAAAATCGCCAAATTGCCCACAGTCTTGGCTCCAATTTAAGATCCTCCTGCCTCAGCCTCCCACAGTCCTGGGATTATAGGCGTGCGCCATCCCGTCCCCATTCCCCAATCTTTCATGACCAGGTTGAGACTGAGGTTTCTGTCGCCGAGCTGGGGAGCTAATATGCATCCGAGGCTGGGCTTACAGCGGCGGGCGAGGAGGTGCGGGCCTGTCCCTAGGGCGGCACAGCTGGACCCGCGCCCCGCCTCGCCCCCAAGCACACAGGGCAGAGCCTGCGGCCGAGTCAGGAGCCTCCTTGGCCTCCTAGAGCGCCGCGGTCGGGCCGAGAGCGCCCTCCCAGTTCCCCTAAAAAGATGAACAGGCCCCAAATCCACGTGGCTATTTGGATGGAGACGGCTCGAGATCTCCCGCCTTCCTCCGCGGTCATCTTGGGACAGAGGAGAGGCAGGGCAAGGTCGAATCAGGGCACCGTGGGATGCGGCTTCACCAGCGCGAGCCGAGCCCAAGGCGGACAGACAAGCAGGGAGTACCAAGAGCCGGCACGATGGCCGAGCCCCAGCGCAGGGCGGGGCTTCCCGGCCTGCCGCGCGGCTTCCGGCTTCCGGCTTCCGGCTGTAGGCGGTGCGGGGGCTGGCGGCGGCCGGAAGCGGGCTGAGCCGGCCTCGCGGAGCGTCGCCCGCGCTTCCGGGGGCCTGGAGTCTGGCTCTTAGCGTCTTCCCGGTAGGCGGCGCGGGAGTGAAGAGAGATTTGAGGGGCCAGGTCGGGCGGTTCCCCTCCTCCCCTCCATGCGAGCAGTTTCTCGAAATCCCGTCAGCGAAGGGCTGCCGAGAGAGGTGGACCCGTGGCCGGGCCGGGAACATGAGGCAGCGTCTCCTCTTCCTGGCCAGCTTGGTTCCTCTCATGCTGGCGCTGCGACCCCCGGACGCGTCGGGCTCCGGCTCCCACCAGCGACTCGGTGAGGGCCGGGCGCGGAGGGGCGCGGCGCCGGGGCCGTCAGGTGTCGGGGCGGAGGGTGGCAGCCGCCGCGCGCCCGGGCTCCGCGCTGGAGGGGGTGTGGCTCCCCGCGCTGCCTCCGTGGGGCAGGGGCCCGAGCGGGGCGCTGAGCCCGGGTTTGCGTTCCTGGGTGGCGGGTGGGGTTGGCTCGTGTTTGCAGAGGTAGATGTGGCCGAGGTCCCTGCCTTGTTAAGAAATGAGTGTGGGGTGGCGGGTATTCCTCGGGCTCGAAGCGGGAGTCCTTCCCGCTCCTGAGGAGCGAGCTAGCGTTTCTGCCAGGAGGTACTAGGCTGGGAGGCACTTTCTGAATTATTTAAATTGTACTTTTTTTTTTTTTTCTTTCTGTTTTGGTGGTGGTGGCGGTCTTGGGGATTGAACGCGGAGGTGCTCTCTCCCTGAGCTACATCCCCCCGCCCCCTTTTTATTTTGAGATAGGTCTTGCTAAATTGTCCAGGCAGGACTTGGACTTGTCAGCTTCCTAACTCGGGCTCCCCGAGTTCTGGGCTGGCAGGTGTGCAGTTTGGGGCGGGGCAGTTGTAGCTATTGAAGGCTATTGATTGGCGAGACTGAAAACCTGCCAGGCTAATCGAGGCTGCCTTTGTGAAAGCTTTTCTTGTAGGGTTTTTTTGTTTTTGTCTTTTTGAGACAGGGTCTCAGTATGCAGTTCAGGCTGGCCTAGAGCTCTGGTTGTAGCCCAGGCTGACCTCGAACTCACAACAATCCTCCTGCCTCAGCCTCCCGAGTGCTGGGATCACAGGCGCGCGCCACCACGCCGGCCTTCTTATAGTTTTAAACAGAGAAATTATCAGGAGTAAACAGTTCGAGCCAGAAAACCCAAGGTTCTTACTAGATTTTTCTAGAGAGAGTGTATGTTAATGGGGAGGCCTCGTGAGATGTAAAGTTTGGTAGAAGTTCGTGTGAATTTAATAGTGTATCTTAGTGTCAAGTTTGTCTTTTAGAAGTTGACAGGTAACACTGCTTGGTTAATCAGTAATAAAAAAATATGGAACAATGTGTTATCCAGTTTGTGAAGTTGTAGTCTTGTCATTTTTCTTGGTTGTCCTGGTCCCAAATCCCCTGCAGGGGTCCATGTATTGTGCAGAGTGAGACCCTGGAGGGCTGTAATCTACAGGACTAATTAACATTTTCACGTTAATTACCTGACAGGTTTTTTCTTAATTTAATGGCTAGAAAGGAGTGACTGACTGATAGGGACGTTAAAGGTGTTGAGTGTTCACACCTGAATAACTAACTGCCACCTTGTTATTTTATTTTGAAAGGGGTTCCAAGTGACTGGTTTAAAGGAAGGTGAGGAAGCCAGTTATAAAGTGCTGAGATGTGATGTCATTACAGATTGAAGGCAGATTTTGAAGTATGGGTGAGGATAATGGATAGCGTAAGGATCGGCTTCATTTTAAGGATAAATGTTAATAAAAAGAACAAGCTTGTATTTTGAGATATTACATATGTTTACCACTTTGACATAACTATTTTATCATTCTCCTTCATAGGTGAGAAAAATAAGCATGAATCCTAGAGAAGTATACAGTGTAGAGGAAAAAAAATTGCTTTCTAGATTGATTCTTACCAACATTTGCAGATTGTAAAGTTTTTTGACAGTGTTTTTTAAATTAAGAAAGTGGCTGAGTGTGGTGATGCACGCCTGTAATCCCAGCATTGGAGTGGCTGAGGCAGGAGGATCCTTGTGAGTTCAAGACCACCCCAGATTTCAGTGTCTCAAAAAACCAAAAATAAATAAATAAAAATTAGGAAAATGGAGACTCTTGGTGCCAGAAACGTGCATAGACTTACCCATTTATTCATCAAATATTTGAATGGATAGTCTGCCAGGTATTATGCATGGCACTGGAAATACAAAGATGAGATGAGATCTTTAAAAGTTCATGGCCTGACAGAATACAGACCCATGCAGAAGTCTAACAGACACTTCTAAAACAACATGGGAGCCAGGCATGATGACTCATGCCTGTAATCCCAGCACTTGGGAGGATGAGGCAGGAGGATTGCTGTGAGTTCAAGGTCAGTCTAGACTACAAAGTGAGTTCAAGGACAGCCTGAACTGCATAGTGAAACCCTGTCTCAAAAAGCAAAAAAAAATTAAAAAAACAATATGGGAGACAGCACAAGGTCACACCATGGCAGGTGTCATTTTGAGGGGGCATTAGATGTGTCTGGGAACATATGGAAGGCTTTCTGGGGAGGTGATACTGAACTCAGACTTCTAAGGTTAGGTAGATGAAGAGGGAAAATGACGGCCTCTGATGGCAGAAGGGAATGATTCTCACAGGTGGTGTGGGCCTTACAGTTTTTTGATCAGTGGGAGAAATGGGTCTCAGAAAGACCGAGGGGTCAGATTCACGTAGTGATGAACGTACCCCTTGTGGGCTTTTGAAGAATGAGTTCCTTAATGGGTTTGTTTGACAACTCAGGATGTTATTTGTTGCTTAGCTTAACCCTCCCATTATTTGATGTAGTGGTCAAGACTGACCATGGATTCATAGTTAGAGTGTAGTTCATTATATATTAGCCTATTTGTACTGAAAAGGTCATCTACCTAATCAATACATTATTATTACATATATGACATTTTTCTGAAGGGCAAATATGTATTTTTAATTATATATTTATACATACACACATACATTTAACAGACGCCTGGCTTTTGGCGTACTCTGCAGGTCACTCCAAATGATTTCATCTGAACTGTTATGAATTGCATAATTTAGGAAAGTTCTGAGTCATGTGAGCTTAGTCATGATGGTATCTTGAAGTTGCAGCTGGGGTGTATAAGTCTCACTTTGATTTCAAAACTGTGTTCCCTTTGAGTTACTTTTAATAAAAGAAGATGTGATGGTTTGAAGGAAAAAATGTAGGTCACAGATGAGGTATGAACACTTGTAGCTGAAACGTGTATTTAGAATTTACCATGAGTTTATTGGCATGGGGGCTCTCTGTAGTAGGCTCATTTTGTTATTACACTGGTTTTTTTATGTGGTACCAAGGATCTGACCTGAGCCAAGTGTGCTTCCACAGTGCTGCATCCCTAGACCTCTGAGACAGGCTCTTGCTAAATTGCTGGATCTGGCTTTGAACTTGCTTTCCTCCTGCCTCAGCAGGACTTACAGGTGTGCACCACCATGCCTGGCCCTTTTCTCGGGACTTTGACCTCTGGCCTCTTTTCATATTAATTCTGCTTATAAGCTGTAGTTTTTTGAAATCAGAACCCTCACCCACCCTAACTGCTGCAGGAAGAGTTAATGTAATCCACTTTGTATTAGTCAAAATGATCCATTGTGTATTTAGGACCGAATGAAACCTAAGCAGAGAGCCATGGTGGGTAACTAAGTGGAGGGATTCTTTGGCTTTCACAGGGTTTCCAGAACATTAAGTGTTGGTGTTCATTAAGGCCAGTTGTGGTTGATTTTAGGGTCTGTCAGCATTTGTGTCTCAAGAGCTAGTCATTTGAAGAAAGTCTGATGGAGGGTTACTGGGAAGCAGGCAGGAATAGTTTTTAAGGAGGCAGGGAAGTGACACGAAGGGCTTTTCAGTACTGTAGTATCTCTTGACCCTAAAGTCTGCCTCGGCAGTATCTCTCTCCTTCCCCCACTATTTTTTCTGTCCTCTTAACGTAAGCAGTAGACTCTTGACAAGTTTCACTCACTATCTTGGTTTCCCTCACCATCTCACTGAATACCCTCAAACCCCTGGGGACAGTTCTGTATACAACTATACATATATATGCTTATATATACCCCCAAATCATATATATACTTTTTTTGGACATTACTGAGGATTGAACCCAAGAGTGCTCTGCCACTGAGCTATGTTGTTGATCCTTTTTATTTTGAAACAGGATCTCACTAAGTTGCCCATGCTGACCTTAACTTTACAGTCCTCCTGCCTCAGCTTCCTGCCTCAGCTTCCTGCATCGCTGGGATTACATGTCTGTGCCACCACGCCTGGTTGTACACACTTTTCTAAAGTTTTAAGGTTGGTCATTGTACTAAGGTCAGTGCCAGAGAAAACTTACCCCAGAGATACAGCCCTTCAAGTGTGAAGAGAAGGGGGAGTTTAAGTTTAATTGAATCTTCTATAGGTAATCCAACAGCTATCTCCAGTGGAGCAGGCTAGTGGCAGGCCTGAAGGTCAAGATTTCTCTTTGTTGTTTGAGAACATTTATTTGTTTCTTTCCAATTAGATTTTATTGGTACATTTTAGATATCTGTAGTGATCACATTCATCACAGAGAATTTGTACCAGTACATAATATAACTTTTTTTCCCCCATTCTCTACTCTCCCTTTGACTCCTCCTTCCCTCCCCATTTACAAAAGCTTTGTTTCCATTTTCCTTCTTTTCTCACTTTTTTTTTTTTACCTTTCCCTTCTTTCCTTTCCCCCTCCCCTCTCCCTTGTTTCCTTCTCCATTGGACATTTTCTTCTTATGTCATAATACCTATTACACATTTTGGTCCTTGTTAAAGCTTTCGGTTCTTTGAGAACCAAAATGTTCTTTGAGAACATTTAAAAGGAACAAAGTGGCTAGGCATGGTGGCACACGCCTATAATCCCAGCTCTCAAGGAGGCTGAAGCAGGAGGATTGCTGCCGGTTCAAGGCCAGCCTGGGGTACATAGTGAGTTCAGGACCAGTCTGAACTACATAGCAGGACCCTGTTTCAAAAAAACAAAACAAAACAAAAAAGGAACAAAAGTTATCTGGTGCTTTTTCCTACTGGCATGGTGTTGAGAAGCACAGAACAGCATAGCGTAGCATAGATTTGCTGTCTGCCAGCCTAGACTCCTGGGAGGGCTTATCAGTAACACAGTTGTCACCCTACGAGGACTTAATGCACAGGAGCCCTGAGCACTGGACAGTGTAGTTGCAGATTGTGTGAGAGGAATGAGATGAAATGTGGACCTTCCTCCTCACAGCACGTGCAGCT